GTATTAGGTTTTATTAAACATAGTCATCTAAATAGTCAGTGCAATTTTTGTAACAAAAAAAAGTCTCTACTCTTGTCATTGCAAAATTACTTCTCATTATATTACGATGGATGACTGACTCACATATTATATATATTAGTTGGAGATACATCTTCCCTTGTATATATATAGTTGGAGATCTTCCCTTGTATAGATTTAGTTGGAGATACATCTTCCCTTGTATGTATATAGTTGGAGATACATCTTCCCTTGTATATATATAGTTGGAGATACATCTTCCCTTGTATAGATACTAGTTGGAGATACATCTTCCCTTGTTTACATATAATTGGAGATATATCTCCTGATATAGATGCTTGTCGGAGTATACATGCTTCCTTGTAAAGGGCTACCAGGGGGGTCCTGAGTGCAAGGGCCCCCCTTTACGATTGCCCCCCCTGGGAGGGGGGGGCTCATTTAATATTACATCTGGAGATTTGTTGAAAAACAAACCTGGAAATTCTGGATTTTGGAGTCAGTTATACTTTTAAGCTTTTCATCATCTTTTTTCAAAAATCATTTTGTAAATTTCTTTTTTAATTTCTTCTAAGTTCACAAACCTACAAAGCAGTTTAATCAACATAGAATCAATTGAGAGGTTTAAAGTGACTGAGACATTCATAACAATACCCTTCAAAGCTTTGTCTGATTAAGTATTGCATTATCTATCCATGTATCCCATTTTGAAAACGATGGAGAAATGAAGGTTTTAAAGGTACATCGGACATGCTCGTCTATGAATGAAGGGTCACTTAAAATTACGCATGTATTCCATCTAAGTATAATTACATCGTATTAAAAAAATACTTTAAAATCTCACTTTTGCCCTCAACTAAAAAAGTTTCATTAAAAAGGCTTTAATCAATACTGCCTTCAGTGTAAATATTGATTTGATTTCATTATTGGTAAGAGCTTTCCAATGATGTATCGTTTGTCATATTTGGACATCAAGCATGAAATTTAGAGGGAGGGAGGGGGGGTAACATTGCCCCCCCCCAGCGTATCCTGGTTTTTAAGTACCCCGGCAGTGATAGGGTTAAGATAGCCCATACACTTTTGTTATTTAAGCTACAGATCTAAAAATTTCATTTTTGAAAAGCCCTTGAAAAATGATTTAAAAATAAGGGTTAATAAAGTGTTTAAAACTGAACTTTGAACATTGACGGCTAGGGGGGTGAACCCCAAAAAAATCGCGCCAAAAGTTCACCCCCTAGGCTTAACCTCCACTACGCCCCTGAACACAAGCTCCGACGCGAAATATAGACATTTTGAAGCAAAATATTCACACACCGACGAGAAATAGTCACATTCCGATGCGAAAAACCATCTTTTTGTCAATTTCTCCTTAAAGACTGATTCTAGAAGTAAGTGCTTTAGAGCTTTGAAAACATCCTATGTAGGGCTATACAAAAGTATAAGTTTGGTGGCATAGGAAAAACCAAGGCCAAAGATCCAGCAAAACTTAAATAGTTTATGCACAATTTTGATGATTTTTTCGATGACTGCAGCACTTCCTTTAAAGTGTAAAACTAATTTACCAAGTTGGAAAACGAAGGAAATGTTAATTTGCTTTAATACTGAATACAATTATACTTGAAGGTACAAACCATTTTTCAGTGGTAGAAAATAATTTATGAGAGAATTATGAATTACTTATAGTTTTCAATGGTAACTAATTTTAAAATCTTTTTCATTTATATTTTTGAAACCCCATAGACCTAAGAAAAAACCTACATATGCTAGAAGTTAAACATGCGCCTCTCCCTCTATAATAGGAGGAGTTATGATTTTAAACATACATATCTGCATCTTACTTTATTTTGATGTGAGGAACATGATTTTTCCTTCAAACCTCATTCTTTTTGGGTTATATTAGGTCAAAATTTAAAAAATCTACTTCATATATTTTTATTGGGTTTTTGGAATTTCTAACATTTCAAAAGGTTAAAATAGTTTTTATTTTATTTTGAAAGATTTATAAATTGTTGACTATTATCCGGATCTACGGGAAAAGACTGCATGATGAAATAAACTTCTAAACATGTGAATCCCAAATTCCCTACAAACCCCCACCACCACCAAGTTGAAAATAGAATTGTTATTGTAAATAATATTTGTGATGATAAAATTGTTATTGTAAATAATATTTGTAATAGTAGAATTGATATCGTAAACATGATTTGTAATAATAATAGACATGATTTTTCGATTAAAATAATTGTTATTATGAACATGATTTTTGGTAATAGAATTGTTTATTTTTACAAGATTTATATGTCCTTATCTTTGCTCAATCTTTGCAAAGTATTTAGTGCACATACCGTTTAAGTTCTGAAATCAAGCTTTTACCCGGCTATATCATTTTTTCCTAATCAATTTCAAGCATTCGTCAATTCTATTTTTTATTTATGTTATATTTTAAACACTTAATTTTTTAACTTTAATAATTTATTTTTATTAAATTTTTAAATATTTATATGATATCAGATGAAAATATTTTGAGATTTCTATAATTCTAGTTTTTCATTTTCTTCTTGTTCATACATCTTTCAATCATATTTAAGCTAATTTTGAAAAAAAAAAAATTTTTTTTTGGATATCCTTGTTGTTCACCACTTTACAAGAAAGAACAATTTTTAGAGGTGCTTTTCTTCTGAACTCTGTATTTAATTGAACTAGCTAAGAGGGTCTTGCTTTCTTTTTTCGGAACTCTATATGGAATTGTTTACTCATGAGTTGCCAGTTGCCTGACTTTCTCCAAAGAGATCTTTTTTGGTCCCAAAATTCCAGTCTGGGGAAGCTCTGTATTTAGATGCATTTATCCTACAGGGAAGCATTGAATGTACATATATTAAAACAAGACTTCATCTTCAACCTGGTTAACTGAAAGAAGGAGTTTAACCCCTGATGAGTATACAAGCCATGCACAACGATACCGTTTTTTTTACTCGACCAGCAGTGAGGACTGGACTGCTATGGAAGATTCCTCTCAAGGGGGCTTCAGGGCTTACAACTCCCCATTTTGCATAAGGGGTGCTGTTATGGGTTTTCCTTAAAATTCCTCTTAACTCAGAAAGAGTATAATAGAAGGAACACAGCTCAGGGAGCAATCCCTTATACCCTTGCTCCTACAAACCTCCTTATCTCTCTCCTACCTAATCCTCAACACAAGAACAAGAAAAAAGAAAATCAGAAATATGTGTCAAAACGCATTTTTCTCTTGTCTACAAGAGATTATTATGAGTAGATCTAAAAGAGAAGAATAGAAAACATATGTATGATCAGATAAAAAAAGATTCAATCCAGAGTTAAGAAAAAATTCAGAAGCAAGAGTATATAAAGTTCAGAAAAAAGAAATCAAGATACTCAGCAATTTCAATTAAATGTAGGGCTCAAAAAAAAGCAAGATCTGTTAAAAATAGTTCTTACTTGTAACATGGCGAACTACAAGGACATCCAACAAAATTCTTTTCTTATTATTTTAAAAATTAGCTGAAGTATGATTGAAGGATGGACCAAAAGAAAAAAATGAAGAACAAGAAATATAGAAATCTCAAAATATTTCCATCTGATATCATGCAAATATTTAAAAATATTATAAAATTAAAATAAAATAAACTATTAAAGTTAAAAACTTGCATCTGACTAAGAAAAACACACAAATCCTGATACTTTCTTGGAGGCAGGGGGGGGGACATCTTCCAATATCTAATATCAAGATATTTCCCTTCCAATTTTCCCTGTTCAATTTTCTTTTTTCTTCTTGCTTCTTGTTTCTAGGCTTTGAGGCCTCTCCAAATAGTTCTTGTGACATTGAGTTGTGGAGCAGGTAGGAGAGAGATAAGGAGGGAACTAGGGATTGCTTCCTGTTATCCTTCATGTTATAGTCTTTCCAACTAAGGGGAATTTTAAGGAAAACCCATAGCTGCACCCCTTAGGCAAAATGGGGAGTTTTAAGCCTTAAAGCCCCATTGAAAGGAATCTTCCACAGCAGTCCAGTCCTCACTACTGGTCAAGTAAAAAACCAGTATTGTTGTGCATGGCTTGTATACCCATCAGGGGTTAACCTCTGTTCTTTCAGCTTGTCAGGAATCAGCAGCTCCAGGCTGAAGATGGAGTCTTATTGTATTCTATATTACATTCCTTACTCCCTGTAGGATAAGACATGTGTGCAACTAAACACAGCGCTCCCCAAAACTGGAAGGCTGGGACTTCTATGAGAGAGGTCTATTCTCATCTGAGGGCGGTAAGCAACTGATTTTTAACACTAAATATATATAGCTAAACCGAGTTTTTGCCGCAAATTCAAATTATCTATTCCCTTTCTTTGAAACCTGTTAGTGTAAACCTTTGACATTTCAACCTTAGACTATTTGAAATTTTAAAGATCTACAACTTCGGGTTGTAAAGATAGAGGGATTAAAACATTAGAGTTTGTGGCAAAAATTCACTTCCTTTAATCTCGATATTTTTGCACTGCAGTTTTTAAATTGTATTTCTGCGTTTACTTTGAGCCAAAGTTCTTACTTAAAATAAAGTATATTAATCACTCTCTTTTTTTACTAATGAATGTCTCTGCCACCATGCTGCACTAATTTTCTCCTTAGTTATTTTTGTGCGTTTTTAAATTTTTCTTTATAAATCAATTAAAAATTTAGGTTAACAGGAGGCCTGCTGCGGAAAATATTATTTTATCTACTGTGATTTGTAAAAATTAAATTCATAAATATGGTTTTTCTGCAGAAATAAATTTGATTTGATTTGATCTTTTTATTCTGGTCACATCATGCGCATCATGCTTTCGAATAATTACAGTCAAACTTCCTTGTTTAAGTACTGAAATAGTTAAGTTATAATTTGTTGAATAATTTATATTTTAAGAATTCTCATTATATCATAGTTCACGTAAAGTTTATTTCACCATAAATTCTCAGTTGAACGCAGAAGTGCAAAAGCATTCAAATCTAACGCACTTCATGTGAAAAATTGGTTTAGAATTCCTTACGCATTGCGTCAAGTATGGACAGCGCGGAAACGTACGCAGTAGTAGAGCTTGCGTCAAGAGCTCCGGATCCCTGAATTAGGATTAATGGGAAGAGATGTTGGATCTAAAATATATATTGGTGATTCTTCTAGTGACGAAAGGTTCTTCTACGTTTTTCCAAGATCCAATCAAACGATCAACATGCATCATTAGATGAGTATTTAATAATAGATAAAATTTCTCATGAATTCCAGATTGCTTTCTCTTATTTTATCAATTAAAATGAATGAGACAAGAGTTAAAATTAAAATCCGGGAAATGTTTGAATTTTACAAACCAAATGTTTAATTACATAAAAGATAGTGAATGAATATTGAACATGCAAAATGTGGTTAAAAGTGTGAAGCAGTGTTTAAATGAAACGCCCTAAACGTTTGAAACTTGAAATTCTTAAAATTGTGGCAACACCGGGTTTATTACCTATGTCAAAGAAAACATAGATTTGGTCTGATGAGAGGTTTAATTATATCTTTGTTGTATTCAATCTTAATTATAATCGTCTTAAAAGATTTAAAAGTACAGGTTTAGCATTAATCTTTGTTTTATCTTTTTTTATGCATTCCTTTGTATCTTTATATCTCCCACTTCCCATCTTCTGATCCTAGTCCTTCCTACCTACCCTTTTCCTGATCCTACTCTTTTCTACCTACCTTTCTCCTTATCCTACTTCCCCATACTCTCTTTCTCCTGATCCTAATCCTTCCTAAACACCCTCCTCCTGATCTGAATACTTCCTAAACACCATTCTCCTGACCTTACTCTTTCCTACCTACCCTTCTCCTAATCCTACTTCCCCATACTCTCTTTCTCCTGATCCTAATCCTTCCTAAACACCCTCCTCCTGATCTGACTCCTTCCTTAACACCATTCTCCTTACCCGACTCCTTCTTAAACACCCTCCTCCTGATCTGACTCCTTCCTAAACACCATTCTCCTGACCCGACTCCTTTCTAAACACCCTCCTCCTGATCCGACTCCTTCCTAAACACCATTCTCTTGATTATACTCCTTTCTAAACACCCTTCTCCTATTTCTACTCCTTCATCCCACCTTTCTGCTAATCATTCTTCTTACCATACTTGCTCCTCTCCTAATCATTCCCCTTCCTACCCCCTCCCCCTTCTCTTAATCCCTCTCCTGCTCCCCCACAATTGTTCTCCTGATTTTATTATTCTCAACCCTTCTTTCCTAATCCTACTTTACCTTTATCAATCATTAACTTTTTCTCTACCTTTCTTAAACTCTCTGTATTTCCCAACACTTACACATCTGACTTCTCCAGCAGAGATATATGAATAAACTTTAATCTAGGTTCATATCCAACCTTTCTTCTCCGTCTCTTCCTTATCTGTCTCTTCTATCTATAAATTTAGCTTTTCTGTTTGTTTGTTTTTATTCAGTAAACGTCAAAACGGCTGAACCGATCGGGCCCAAATTTTTTGTGGGACATTACGTGACCACAGGGAAGGTTTATGAATGATAAAATTTTTAAAAAATGTGTTTAAAGGTTTTTAATTTTGTAAAAAATGTATATTCTTGAAAATCCGCGATTTTTTTTTTAAAATACGCAACATTTTTTCTTCTTTGTGTTTACAATTTAAATAGAAGATGGGCGCGAAGCGCCCTAAAAGCCTAGTAGCCCAAATATGTGAAGTACACCTGCAGTATGGAAACAGTACAACAAAATGGCCGTTTTACACTTTTTTCTAGTACATATAAATCCATCCTACTCTTCTCTCTCCCATCCATCCATCCATGCTAGCTGAGCCCAAACACAAAGTTTCTGCTTCTTCCTGTTGAGTTTATTTCTTGAATTGTTAGGTTGTCTGACAATGTTTGAACCAGAACCAGTTTCCGTTCTTCCGCTTTATACTTCTATCTCTAGACTAAACTAGGATACTAGGCTTAGGAGAAAAAGTGACATGGATCCACGGTGCTCCAGGATTGATAAGATTTATCTTAAAAACTATGGGGGAGGGGGGATTTTCCATGACCTAAGAATCTCATTAAATCTAAAAGTGAAAACCTCGGTAAAATTCAGCTTTTACGAAATATTTATTGGTTTAACCCTCTGGTTGCGTCTATAAAATGTCAATCGTTTCCGGCGCTTCTAGGTTTTAAGATGATATCGTGATTTAAGTACTGAACATGACGAGATGTTTTGGTTTAAACGTCCAGTATGTTCCTGGTTTCAATACATAACATTTTTACACATTCCGTTAAACCATATTGTAACCCTCCCCCCCCCCCTTCGACTGCTAGACCGTTAGTAGTATCATTATATAATGTCCGGAACTGTATTTCTGTATTTATGAATAGCTGCTGGATCAATTAAAGTGTGAGAACCATGAAACTATTTTTATTTTTTAAGTTAACAAAATGCATTCACAAACAGCAGAGCTAAAGTATTCACAATTGCGATGGTAACAGATAGAACTTGACAAGTTGGCTGCACTTATTCTTTACTAAAGAAGCCTCCGTTTTTGGCCATACAAACTTAAAACTTATATAAAGAGATTTCCAAAAGTGAATATGAAATAAGCTAATTGTTAGTGTGATGGGTTTAAAATAATGAAAATAAACTAATTGTTAGTGTGATGGGTTTAAAATAATGAAAATAAACTAATTGTTAGTGTGATGGGTTTAAAATAATGAAGAAAAAAAACTTATCGTTGGTGTGATGGGTTTTAAATAATTTAAAAAAGGCAATTGTTAGTGTGATGGGTTTAAAATAATGAAGAAAAAAAAGCTAATTGTTAGTGTGATGGGTTTAAAATAATGAAGAAAAACAGCTAATTGTTAGTGTAATGGGTTTAAAATGATGAAAAAAAAACTAATTGTTAGTGTGATGGGTTTAAAATAATGAAAAAAGCTAATTGTTAGTGTGATGGGTTTAAAATAATGAAGGAAAAAAAACTTATTGTTAGTGTGATGGGTTTAAAATAATTTAAAAAAACTAATTGTAAGTGTGATGGGTTTAAAATAATGAAAAAAGCTCATTTCTAGTGTGATGGGTTTAAAATAATGAAAAAAAAACTAATTGTTAGTGTGATGGGTTTAAAATAATGAAGGATAAAAACTAATTGTTAGTGTGATGGGTCTAAAATAATGAAAAAAAAGCTAATTGTTAGTGTGATGGGTTTAAAATGATGAAAAAAAAACTAATTGTTATTGTGATGGGGTTAAAATAATGAGAAAAAGCTAATTTTTAGTGTGATGGGTTTAAAATAATGAAAAAAGCTAATTGTTAGTGTGATGGGTTTAAAATAATGAAGGAAAAAAACTTATTGTTAGTGTGATGGGTTTAAAATAATGTAAAAAAAAACTAATTGTAAGTGTGATGTGTTTAAAATAATGAAAAAAGCTAATTTTTAGTGTGATGGGTTTAAAATAAAGGTTCTGAATACTAATTTGTTTTTTTTCTTCTAAGGACTAGAAAACGTGTTTGATTAGAAACTAAAATTTAAAAAAGTTTTTAATAGAACCAGCTTGGGAACCCAGCTTTACCTGGACACTAAGTTTCCCTTATAAAAGTCAACCTGCTCAGCTTGGAACTTTTAAACAAAGCTGAGAGCGTTTCCGTGGTTCTATCTAGTTCCCAAATTAAAATTTGAGGCAAATCGGTCAAGAAGTTCCTGAGTTATGATCGGACATACAAAAAAACAGAGATTACTACTTTTTTAAATGTGACTTCAGAGACGACTGCCAGGAATCATGTTTCCAGTTCACTATACGGTTAAATTTAAAAACTAAATCTTTTTGAGATATCGATAAAGTCTTCTTATTCATTAAAATATCCTAGATCCTAATTTAATTATTATTGCAGTGGGGGCAGCTGTGAGCCTCTAATCAACTGCATGATGTCTATGGGAATTGCTGCTTCAACTTGCGGAGGATTTCTTTCAGGCAGATCAAACATCTAGAGTTTTACGATATATTAATTTTCTCAAAATATTCAAACAAAGTCCATAAACTTTTGTTTTATTCTATTTTAGTCCTCCTTCCATTAATTTTCTTTAAATTACTTAATCACATTCTTATACTTTGCGATTATGAATTTTCCTATTCCTAACTTTTGTTATGATATAAATTATTAATCTCCTATTATCAATCTCCTATTATTAATCTCCTATTTCTAATTGTTTCCTTATTTTCCTACTCCTATTCCTAATTCTTGTCTTATTGTAGATATTAATATGTTTTTGAACCATATTCTTGTTTGGTTCATTACTTAAGTTTTTCTGTACATATGTATAATAGTATACGTATAACTAGCAAAAGTGCCCGGCGTTGCCCGTGGAATAAAAAAATAATAGTTTTGAATTTTATTTAGCCTTTGTTACCCCTGGTCTCCCTTGAAAAATGTCAGCCCATTCTGTCCAGGCGTTTGGCCGGCTAGAGGGAACAAATATACGAATGTCTTGTTTTATTATATAATTATTGTTATAGATTTATTTCGTACACAAAGGTAAAATGGTACAATATGATAAGACAAAAACAAGAATAAAGTATAATATATAAATATAGTTTCTAGTCGGAACATAAAAAGTTGATCATGGTTGCGATCTCATTATCATCAAAGTTGTTTAGAACAAAATTATCTTCTTTAACTTTAAGTNTTTAGATTTATAATCTTTACATATATAATCTTTACATATATAATCTTTACATATATAATCCTTACATGTATAATCTTGAAATTAAATCCATTTAAGTTCCTTTAAAAACAACTATTACTTTTTTGACCCAGATAAAATCAAAGCATATTTCAATACTATAAAAAAAGTAGATGCAGTAAGTTTATAAAGCTCTGGGCTTGAAATTGTTTAATGTATTGCATAATATATATGGCATAATTTCTTTTTTCTTAAATATTACACGTGTTTATTTTTTGGGGAGATATTCTGAAGTTAAAGAAACGAGAATTTTCCACTTCATTAATTGGAATATGTTGTGTTCAATAAAAATGGAAATTAATTTAATATTAAAGAGCACTTTTTTACAATTTGTAATTATTAAAAATGTATTTCTAAGGTATGCTTTAGAAACTTTGTAAAATTTAGAGTTTTTAAATAATGAAAACTATTTGGAAGAATTGTTTAAACTAAAATGATGTTTTTTCCTAAAGTTTGCTGTGTAAGACCGTCAACGGTGAATCGTTGGTTGAATGATTACCGGGAAAACGACATCATTAACAACAACTATCATGAAGTAAAGTCGAAAAGTACCGTGATTAACGACCCCAAATGCGGGAACCGTCCTACCGCCAACCGGCGGGTGATTGACGGATCAGATGCTGGGTTTGGAACCTTCCCCTGGCAGGCCCTGGTGCGGATAGGGAAAGCTAAATGCGGCGGAGTTTTAGGGAATTATATTGATTCTAACTTCAACATGACATTTTTCTAGTAAATTTTGTTTATCTCCTAGATTATATATCTACATGGAACATAATATTGTTTAAAAGAAGTCGTTAAAATCTCAATAATATTCAATAGTGAACCGTCAACATGTGATAACAGCGGGACATTGTGTCAAGAATAAGGATAAGGAGACCATTAACGTTACCCTTGGGGAGTACCATATAGGTTAGTAGAGAGTATTTAACCCTTGGGGAGTATCATATAGGTCAGTATAGGGAGTATTTAACCCTTGGGGAGTACCATATAGGTTAGTAGGGAGTATTTAACCCTTGGGGAGTACCATATAGGTTAGTAGGGAGTATTTAACCCTTGGGGAGTACCATGTAGGTTAGTAGGGAGTATTTAACCCTTGGGGAGTATCATATAGGTTAGCGGGAGTATTTAACCTGTGGGAATACCACATAGGTTAGTAAGGCGTATTTAACAATGGGAGAGTATCATATAGGTTAGTAGGCAGTATTTAACCACATAAGTTAGTAAGGAGAATTTAATTCGTGGGAGTATCATACAGGTTAGTAGGCAGTATTTAACCCTTGAGGAGTACCATATATGTTAGTAGGGAGTATTTAACCATTGGGGAGTACCATATAGGTTAGTAGGGAGTATTTAACCCTTGGGGAGTACCATATAGGTTAGTAGGGAGTATTTAACCCTTGGGGAGTAGCATGTAGGTTAGTAGGGAGTACTTAACACTTGGGGAGTACCATGTAGGTTAGTAGGGAGTATTTAACCCTTGGGGAGTACCATATAGGTTAGTAGGGAGTATTTAACCCTTGGGGAGTACCAGCATGTAGGTTAGTAGGGAGTACTTAACACTTGGGGAGTACCATATAGGTTAGTAGGGAGTATTTAACCCTTGGGGAGTACCATATAGGCTAGTAGGGAGTACTTAACCCTTCGGGAGTACCATATAGGATAGTAAGGAGTATTTGTGGGAGTACCATATAGGTTAGTAGGGAGTATTTAACCCTTGGGGAGTACCATAAAGGTTAGTAGGGAGTATTTAGTACCATATAGGTTAGTATAGGGAGTATTTAGCACTCGGGGAGTCCCATATAGGTTAGTACTAATCTTGTTTTATCATCTTTAGGAGTTCTACTAATATTCTGTATCTTGTATCATATTTAGTAGATAGCTACTAATCCTTTTTATACAGGAGATCGGCAATCCTGCATCCTTTTTATGAGATCTTCTTATCCTGTATCCTTTTTATGAGATCTACTAGTTATTTACTGTTTAGGATATCTACTAATTATGTACTGTTTAGGAGATCTACTAATTATGTACTGTTTAGGAGATCTACTAATTACGTACTGTTTAGGAGATCTACTAATTATATCCTGTTTAGGAGATCGACTAATAATGTACTGTTAAGGAGATCTTCTAATAATGTACTGTTCAGGAGATCTTCTAATTATGTACTGTTTAGGAAATCTACTAATTATGTACTGTTTAGGAGATCTACTTTAATGTACTGTTTAGGAGATATACTTTAATGTACATACTGTATATGAGATCTACTAATTTTTTACCGTTAAGGAGATCTACCAATTATGTACTGTTTAGGAGATCTCCTGGCTGATGATGAATATCTACCAAGTGTAACCTTCAAGGTGTACAGTGTAGCAGTACATCCACAGTTCCAGTTCAGCCCTGCAGCAGACAGGTGGGCAAATATGTACTGGCAAGTAACATAAGTGACATGTACACCTTGAGTACCGTGCACACAGATAATTCTAGATAACAAGATTGAATAGAAAAATGTTACATTAAAATCAGAAATGTTTCAGTCTGATCAGTCTAGTCCAGTAAACAAATCTCGGATTCTTTAAATTTAGTTTCATCTTCATTTTTCTCTCAAATCCATATTTTTGTTAAGGTATGATGTTGCTGTGCTACGGTTGTCCAGTCCTGTACACTATGCTCCACATATAGCACCAATATGCTTACCTAGAGCAGGACTTGATCCAGAGGTAATTTTTAAAATATTTCATAATTTGAAAATTATATTTTCAAGAATAACCTCCCATTATGCGGAAAAATTAAATATTAAAATGATCTTACCTATAAGCTGTTCTTTCCTCCTACAAATATAAAATAATGGCCCTACTGTAATACATGATTAATGATATGACCCAAAAATTAACAATAAATAATTAAATATTAGTTTTCTGATGATTTTTCATTTATACAATACATATTACATACTATTACTTACATAATTACTTATCATACTACAATATGTAATATTTAATTTACATTTATTTTTATAAAATCTATTGTTAATGTTGATCCTATCCTAAATTATGAAAATAAATAAGATGTCTGTTCGACATTGGGTTGGCCTGCTTCAGTTAAAGATATTATAGCCATCAAAATCAACAACAATAAATTAAAAAATTAAAGAAAAAAAGGTTGTTAAATGAAAAAAAAGAGAACTCAAATTAAATATATAAAAAAGATAACTAGCCATCACTTCCTATACAATGTTTAAATATAATTCTAATTCCTTGAGATTTGCTTCTTCCATAGAGATTCAAAACAAACTGTTTCAATGTTTATTAAAATATGTTCAGCCCGGAACAGTAGCTTATGCAGCGGGCTGGGGAGCTATTATTACAGATGAAAAACTTGGCCCACTAGGATTCCTGGTCCCTAAGGAACAGAAACGACCTAAAGTTCTCCAGGTAAAACAAGAGAAACGAATTAAATAATTATATTCCTTTGAGAAAATACAGTAAGTCTCATAAAACTATGGAATATGAAAGGAGACTGTTATGCTTCAAACAGTTCATGCACTGCATGCAACACCACAATTTTGCAATATATTCGGATCTCTTTCAGCTCATAAGGAAAGTTTTAAAACTAATTGCTTTATAACAACAAAGAAACGTCAGAAGATTGCTTAAAGGGACTGTTCAGGTAAAATGTAAGGGGGTATATGCTAGAAATTTTAGGCGTTGATCACGACAAATATTAGTTCTATCTGATGAACATCAGATAGAACTAATATTGATCCCTTTCAACTCATATTTTTTAAGACTTTACAGTAGTTAAAATGCTCACGCAAATGTACAGAATCATTCATAACAAGTACAGGGGTTCCAACAAAGAATAAGACTTTGAAAGCGACTTTAATTATATTTTTCTACAGTGATAACCAGAAAACTATGGAATTGAAAGCAGACTTTTAGACTCAAGTTAAGACTATAAAAAATCCAATGAACATGAGGCAAATCAGTTGTGCAGTGTATAAAGTATGAGTTTGGTCTTCTTCCTTGAATACAAGTTTTTAATGATTTGCCAGCAATAGCAACAAATTGAAAGTTGCAGCTGGAACCTTGAGAACAATTATTTATTTTATCCATTTAATTTTCTCTCAAGTCTCCACTCTCTCCTCCTTTATGGATAACCCTTTGGATTGTAAAGGAGGGTTTATGGTAAAGGAGGTGTTCTGATATTTTGTCTGAAATTAATTGTCATAAATCCCTTTATGTTATATTCTTAATATGTTAACTAAATACATATTAGAGATGATTTTTCCCAACCACGAATTTGATAATCCTAGGTGGTGGATGTTCCACTGATCGCCAATGATCAGTGTGAGAGCTGGCACAGTAGGAAGGGTATATCCGTCCACCTGTACCCGGAGATGCTGTGTGCCGGATACAGGTTCGGAGGAAAGGACTCCTGCAAGGGAGACAGCGGCGGTCCACTCATGGTTCGACAGAAGGACGGACGATGGGTCCTCGTGGGATTAGTCTCAGCCGGCTTCTCCTGCGGTCAACCTGGACAACCAGGAATATATCACAGGTTAGTAAATGAAGTGTCATCAACTAATCAATCCGTTTAAAAAAATTCTTTCAAAAATCATTTTCAGATGTTTTGGTATTTTGTCTAATTACATAACATACGTCAAATATATTTAATAAATCATAAAATAATATGAATTCCGAACTGAAGCATTTCGAAAGAATGAAGAGCCAATATCAAATAACAACGTATATCTAAAGCGATAGCGTTAGTGTTAATAAAAAAAATAAAGTAGGTGCTATTCCCACATTTTTTGAAAATATATTTAGGTCTGGGTTGACCCTCTTTGTTTCTCTTATGAAAAATCAAAACAAATCTACTTAAAGGGACTGTACGCGTATTTTTTTAACTGACCCTCTATGTAAAGATAGCCATGTCCAATTTACAACAGTAACTTTAAAACTTTGATCAAGTAATATTAGATATCCATTTTTAACTGTTTATTTTAAGTTGTGGTTTCTTTGAAAAAAGTTACATGTGCATTTCTTGTTCATTTAGAAACAACAGAGAAATTACCAGGACTGAACACAATTGAGTCAGAAAACGACGTAATCTTCCACATTTATCATTAGATTAACCTTTCAAGGATACCGTTCAAAATCTTACATTGACATCTTTGCAGTAAGGGTCACTTGAAATTACGCTTACAGTCCCTTTAAATGTACTTTATATATATATTTATATTAGTTAATTTTGTTTCTAGGATCTCCCAGACAGCTGCCTGGATCTCGTATATAGTCAACGGTGGACTAAGTTAAATTTCTGTCAGCGCACAGTGAACATATTAAACATTTATAATTATAAACAAGAAACAAATATGATAGAGGTTAGTTTATTTAAAACCAATTTTGGTAATAAATTTGCTACCAACACTGCTCAAGCCAGATTCGAGCTACCAGTGCTGTGTTTCTTCAGATTCCAGCAAAAAAATACTTGTTTTTGTTCCGTTTCCAGATCCAGAAGTGGTTCTAGTCAGTTTCCAGCTACCCAAACTGGTTCTAGTCAGTTTTGAGCTACCCAAACTGGTTTTTGTCAGTTTCCAGCTACCCAAACTGGTTCTAGTCAGTTTCCAGCTACCCAAACTGGTTCTAGTCAGTTTCCAGCTACCCAAACTGGTTCTAGTCAGTTTTCAGCTAACGGAACTGGTTCTAGTCAGTTTCCAGTCACGAGAACTGGTTCCTATCAGTTTCCAGTTACCAGAACGGATTCTGTGAATTGTATACTATCAGGTCTGGATTCAAACAGTATCTAGCTACCAGAGCAGTTCTTATCAGTATTTGGCACCATAACTGGTCTGGTCAGATCTAGTTTTAGTCTGTATCTAGCTACCAGAACTGGTAAGAACTGGTTTTAATCAGTATCTAGCAACCAGAACTGGTTTTAATCTGTATCTAGCTACTAGAACTGATATAAATAAGTATCTAGCTACCAGAACTGACTTTAATCAGCATCTAGCTACTAGAACTGGGTTTAATCTGTATCTAGGGACCAGAACTGGTTTTAATCAGTATCTAGCTGCCAGAACTAGTTTTAATCTGTATTTAGTTACAGAACTGGTTTTAATCTGTATCTAGGGACCAGAACTGGTTTTAATCTGTATCTAGCTACCAGAACTGGTTTTAATCAGTATCTAGCTACCAGAACTAGTTTTAATCTGTATTTAGTTACAGAACTGGTTTTAATCTGTATCTAGGGACCAGAACTGGTTTTAATCTGTATCTAGCTACCAGAACTGGTTTTAATCAGTATCTAGCTACCAGAACTAGTTTTAATCTGTATTTAGTTACAGAACTGGTTTTAATCTGTATCTAGGGACCAGAACTGGTTTTAATCTGTATCTAGCTACCAGAACTGGTTTTAATCAGTATCTAGCTACCAGAACTAGTTTTAATCTGTATTTAGTTACAGAACTGGTTTTAATCTGTATCTAGGGACCAGAACTGGTTTTAATCTGTATCTAGCTACCAGAACTGGTTTTAATCTGTATCTAGGGACCAGAACTGATTTTAATCAGTATCTAGCTACCAGAACTGATTTTAATCAGTATCTAGCTACCAGAACTGGTTTTAATCTGTATCTAGGGACCAGAACAGGTTTTAATCTGTATCTAGCACCAGATTGCTTTTAATCAGTATCTAGGGACCAGAACTGGTTTTAATCTGTATCTAGGAACCAGAACTTGTTTTAATCCGTATCTAGGGACCAGCACTGGTTTTGATCTGTATCTAGGGACCAGAATTGCTTTTAATCTGTATCTAGCTACCAGAACTGGTTTAGCTCCGAGCTTTTTTACCCTGTTTCAAATCAGATTAATTGTATTACTGGGTTAAAGTCAAAAGAAAAACAGGTCCAATACTTGAAGATCAAGGTTGGGAAAGTGATTGTTTATAAATGTTTACATTGATTATTGTTTTCTTTAGTTGCAAAAATATTTATTTTTGAAATATTCTTGCAATTTTAGAAACTTTAATATATAAATTCGACATTATTCATCTTGAGATTATAATCTGTAGTTAAATATTTGTTGTCGGTTAGATTCATACAGTTACTGTTATGTTATTTTTTTCAAACATTTTATTTTTAAAGCAACCAAAGAATTTTTAATTAATAGTTTTGATTATGAGATTTAATTTCCATATCAGAAATCTATCTTTTGGTTATTAACAACCGCGAATGTACAACTTAAAATCCTGGGCATTAAAAATTAGTTTTTATAACTATTTATTATGTAATAAATTTGTTTATTTAAGTTTTAAGTTAATTATCCAGTATAGTCGACTAGTAGATTCAGGCCCGTAGCTAGGTATTTTTCCAAGGGTGTAGCACAAAGTTTAAAATTGAAGATGGGAATAGATAAATTATAAAATTGAAGATGGGAATAGATAAATCATAAAATTGAAGATGGGAATAGATAAATCATAAAATTGAAGATGGGAATAGATTAATTATAAAATTGAAGAGCAAAGTAATTTCTTTGGTTTAATTTATGTTAGGTGAGCTGAGCCAGGTTGCATACAACCAGCATACATTCAGCCAAGGTTGCAGGCGCTATGTCATTAATGTCCTACAGAGCGGGGGAAACATCATTTGTCCTACACATCATAAAATATAAACATAAATATCTGTTTCACTCTATTTATATTGAACAATTGAACATATTTACTGAGGTTAAAACGACATAGGGTCAAATTTATTTTGAGAGACAGCTCATTATCTAACATTTAAAAGGCCGCAGCGGTCGGCTTCATATCCCATCCTAGCCGCAGAGCTCGGCCCAGAAATTGTTTAACCCAAAATAAGGTTAGATGACAACATATTTAAGGGACAGACCGTCTATGAAGGTAGTTGAACTGAGTGCAGTGTTGTGGAAAGCTTCTTTAGGAATCATTTGAGACAAATAAAAAACTTTTTAAAGATTTGTAAATCCTGAGTTTGAGCGCAAATTTGAAGTTCAAAACTCCTACTTTGGGGGTGGATACGTTTTCAGAATCGGTTTTTTATATTACTAAATAAAGACGACGAAAAATAAAGTAAAAATCATACAGTAATCTAATTGGATGGTTTGGAACATATTTCTCAAAAGAAATTTGTCAATAAATCAATGCTTGAAACAATTATTTCGTTTTCATCATTATATTGAATTTCTTATTTCTTTGAATTTATTCGAAGATTTCTTCAAATTCTTTAAATGTCGTCTTTTCAATAATTCCAGAAAATCTGCAGAAAATCTTTGTGAATGAGAAACTAGAATAATTAGAAAATAGAAACTAATAATTGAATAAGATTACTTATTTTCGATGATGAGATTAATTTTTATTTTCTCAACCGGTTCCTAAACAGCTAATTAGTTTACTGTAGAGTTTTGTTACATTTTTTGTCGTTATTTAATAATTTAAAAAAACCGATTCTAAAAACCTACCTTACATAGCCGGTCTGTCCCTTTAAAGGAAATTAAATTCAACTTTTAAACATTACTAAACAACAAATTTTATCCCCTCTCTGTAGGACAAACAATGTTGAGTGCAAATGGAGTGTAGGACAATTGATGTGTTTTCCTCTATGTAGCACAAGTGATGTGTAGGACAATTGATGAGTAGGAAAAATGTAGTTTTCTCCGCCCTGTAGGACAAATGGCATAGCGCCAAGATTCCATATTAATCAATTTGCCGAGAAATTTGAAAAAAAAAATACAGTTTACCAACGAGAAGACTTTGCAGACTGAACAAATTTCATAAAAATTTTGTCAAATTCATTATTCCTTAAAGCTGTACCATTTTTCAATTCCTCATAACTTAACCCTTCGCTTTTAGAAAACTTGCACAATAAAAGATACCAAATTTGATTTTCAAATTATTTCACTAAACTACAGTCATTCGCATATAAAACCAAAATAAAGTAGATTAAAAAAAATCAAAAATAAACAAAAAAATAAATTTCTAAGTAATAAATATATTAAATTTACATCGGCATATAAGAATACATAAAATAAATATATGTTCCTTCTATTTCCATCATCTTATAATATAAAAGTTATCACATTTAAGGTTCACAATATAGTTACACAGAGGTTTATATGCCATAGCAGTAAATAATGTTTAACCACAGATACTACAGTGAATCCAAGATATATGAATACATACTACATAGACCGTCATACGTTTTTTGATAATTCTAAAGAAACTTTTTATTTCTAATTCGAGGTAAATTAATAGCCCTGAAATATGAATGCAATTTATATATTAAAATTAACCTCATTTTTCCGCGGCATTTGATCTTAAATATGTAATACGACATTATAAAAACTCTTGCTATGAATTTATATATCTGGGAATCACTGAAGCTTGGTAAAGTTCAATATACAATATAAAAATCGGCTTAACAAATGCAAACGTTAAATAAACTTACTGAAGGAAGATTTTCATGAGTTATTTTCTTTTTTACATCCTTCACCCGATAATCAATACAAATTTTAATCTTTTAGTGAAGGGCAGGAAGAGATTCGCACTGACACTGATAACTGATTTAACATCAAATATGGAGGGGGGGGGGGGGTTACCCAAGTATTGAGCAATGGTTCTGAAGTGCTTGAAGAGAGGGGGGTACAATGTCAGCTCAGAATTGGATTATACATTTACAACCTATTCTCCAGGTCTAGCTTAAAATACTAGAGTTGACAGTAAACATGGCACCATGTTCTCCAGGTTCGGAGTTCAGAGATAATAAGTCTTGGTTACATTATTCTTCACGAGTTCTTACTCTTGGTAGAGTTAACTCTCTCCTCTGGAAGTATCCAGGATATAGAATGGTGGTCAACTGATATCAACGCCATTAGTATGACGAGCAGAGCGAGAACTAGCAGCACTACAAGGAAACACCAGCATAACAGAGATCCGTTCGATATACCTAGATAAAAAATACTGAATTTTGACAGGTTTAAAACAGTTAACTCAGACCAAAAAGTTCAATTTTTTGTAATTTTGTTAAACATTGAAATTGAACAGACCAAAAGCTTTCATTTCTTTAAGCGACGAACCGACCTCCAAAAATTAATGTTAAAATTAATATTGTTGTGTATAATGTGTATTAACAATAGGATAGAAAATTTATTATTTACAGATCTGTTGGAAAATCATTAAATATCTATGTAACGCAACAATATCAGAAAATTGGGCTTTCTGAGACATTGATTGATTGATATACAAGATGTATACTTTGAAAAATAAGTAAAATATTAAAAAACATTTAAAATTCATGAATTTTCAGATGTAGGAGAATTTCCAGAATCCACAGCTGTTTACAAACTCTTATTTATTATTTTGTAAGTAATTAACTTCAGATTTAACTATAAAAATACTCTCTATATCATAGCAATTTTTAAACAAGCAAAGCATAATGTTACAGTAAAATTAACAAAAACAATAATGATCGGAAGCAATCCACCACCCCAGCAAGGGTCCTTTATATTTTTTTTCAAGGGTATGGACCGGCTTTACTTTTTAACATAAAAAGGGGGGGGGTTGCAGAATTCATCTGAAAACCCTATCGGACAGAGAGAAATCGTGTCTTATATTCAAACAGGAATAAAAATGTTTATGGAAAGCATGTACAGTGTACAGTGTACACTATTTTCCATCTTAAATCTATTTTGCATCCTTAAAAATGCAATGCTTTCTACAAAATTTGCAGGGGTATTTAATTTAAGAATTAACACCCCCCCCACCTTCGAGATTGAATATCATAGCTTAAAATAAAGATTATATACAAGTCATAACCAGAAAGTCCCGGAAATAATTGACTGTTAATCAGACGACTTTACGTATACATCTCTGTTAATTGTTAACGCACAAAAAAGGCAGACCACATTTTGGAATTGACAGGACTAGGGCTATTTTGTTATTAGCGTATCATTAATTATATTTGTAATATTATAGATTTTAAAATCGTCTGATTAATTTCAAATTAATTTTGGGTCTTCCTGATTAGAACTGTAGGTCAATGATAATGTTAATAATAATGATAATATGATAACCTGTACCTGAATGCTGAGAAGAATCTGGAATATTAGTAAATATAATCTCCTCCCGGGATGTATCTAGCTCCGGGACGGATTGTAAATCCTCGACCATCTCCTGCTGAATTAACTGTTTCTCTTTGATCCTCTCCAGGTCCCTGTCAAACTCCTTCAGAAACTTTCGAACCTTCTTCTTATCCTTACTCTCATGGAAGACTCTATCCGAGGGTTCAGTCTCCGAGCAGGGACTGGAGTATCCTGTGGATATTGCACTAGACATATTACTCGAGAATGAGTTCGGAGTATCCTTGGTATCCACAAACCATCCATTCTCACGCCGACTATCTTCAGAGTGTACACCAGGAATTAAGTCTTTGAGAAATGACGCAGGTTTTACGGGGATTTTAATACGCTTTAATGCGTAGAACTCAGATTCTTGTAGGATATTATTAACTCTCTTTAACTCTGCGAGTGGAATATTATACTTGAGTGTGAGTGAGAGAAGTGTATCTGATGGTTGAATATCACACTCTATGGTTTGATCTCTAGGACTCCTACTAGCAGGTGAATGGTCCTCTCTCTTCTTAGGATGCAGATTGCCTAAATGTGTTTAATGATTTTCAACATAATTTGTAAGTGTAATTTTAATTGACCCTCCTTAGAAAGATGGAAATGCATGCTTGTTCGACATCAGTATCCTTAAAACTTTATCTGATGTGGAAAATATTGTCGTTTTTCAAGGTTTAATTCTAATTATTCCAATATATTCTCCTGTAGTAGAAATAATCAAGTTACTTTAGTAGTGAAACCACAGTTGAAAATAATTTTCAAGATATTCAATATTGACTTTATCAATCAAAGCTTTTAAAGGTACCGTTGTAAATCGTGCATTCCCATCATTGCATGTAGGGTACCTTACTATTCCTTTAATCTAAGAAAGTTTTCAATAAAAATCACAGTTGAATATTTTCCTATTAATAGATATTCTTTCCAAAATTATCAATGAACATCGAAAATCTGTTATTTTAGAAAGAAACCAACTTTTGTAACTCAATGAGAAATGAAACAATAAAATTTAAAAAGTGAGATCCCTTATTTATATTTACTAAAATATTTAATAAAAATATCCCGAACACTGAAACAGGTCCATTTCGGTTAATTATCAGGAATTGATTTTCGCAAAAGTATAATATTAAATTACCCATTTGCATGTAGTCATCATTGTTAGAGGTGAGTAAGGATTGAGATTCCTCCGTCCTATCCAGATAAACCTTCCTCCTGTATTTTTCCATCTCGTCCCCAAACCTTAATCCATCTGAAACAAAACATGTTGAAAACATTAAAATTAATCATATCAATTATTTTATAAATAGACCTGTCCAAGCGGCGGCAAACGGTCAAAAAATTGTCTCAACCGAATATATTTAAAAATGCATGCATATTATTCAATAGGAGTGGGGGCTGTTCTTGGACTATTTTAGCCTAATAGCATTTCCCATCCTTACTGCACGACGAGGCCCCAAGGCCTGTCCCTGTCACAATGCTAAAATATTGGCTGGCGAATTTCTAATTTTTTGAAGAACAACTTATGGTAATTTCCTAGTATACGATTTTTGGCCCCCCCCCCGCCCCCCCCCCTCCTATCAATTTTGTACATGGGTCTGACAGGAAGTGTCTTAACTTAACCTAACCCGTGGCCGCAGCGCCGGCCCAGAAAGTGTCTTAACTAACCTAACCCGTGGCCGCAGCGCTCGGCCCCCTAGCCCATCCTAGCCGCAGCGCTCGGCCCAGAAAGTGTGGCCGCAGCGCTCGGCCTTCTCTTAACCTAACCTAACCCTAAATAACAAAAAAATAAATAATAATAACCTAACCCGTGGCCGCAGCGCTCGGCCCCCTAGCCCATCCTAGCCGCAGCGCTCGGCCCAGAAAGTGTGGCCGCAGCGCTCGGCCTTCTCTTAACCTAACCTAACCCTAAATAACAAAAAAATAAATAATAATAAATTTGCTGAAAAATAAATGGTCATGTACAAAATTGATAGGAGGGGGGGGGCGGGGGGGGGGGCCAAAAATCTTTTACTAGGACAGACCCCAACTTATTAATACTTTGTTCAAGCAAAAAATAAATGAGTTTAGTTTAAACTAAGATGGTATACGATGAATACGATGCAATAATCTGATTAATTAATTTAATTACACTCCAATTACTCTTGGAACATACAGTTAACATTTTCACACATAATATAATTAGAATATTGAATTTTCTCTTTAAATAAAGCACTTTTACAAGATTTTTTATCTTTTCTTGGTGATATAAGATTGTATTAAGTTACACGTAACATCTATTGTAGTAAAGTTAGAGAGTACAGACGACAAAAACATATGTTTTTATTTGAAAGTAAAATCACAAAACCTCTCAAACTGCTTTTATTAATAATATCATTCTAAAACAGGACTGCATTTATGAAATCCATTAGAATTAAATTTTCAAATTGTATAAAATTATGGATATTTCAATTATCAATAATGTAACATAACTTTTTATAATTAAGCTATCTAAAATTAATTTCTGCTTTCTTCTGAGAAAGCTTTATCATTTGCAGGTTGGGTTTGGTTTGAGACAATTCTCTACCTGCTCCTGCAGCTCTAAGTCCAGTCCCTACTCTAAACCCTACTCGGAGCAAAACCGGTCCCGGGTGCAATATAAATATTATCGATATTTTAGGTTCGTGAAGTTAGAAGTTAGAGCTCTGAAATTACATATTTAAAAAGAGTCATGAATGTTAGAGAGGATACAATCAAAACTGTTTTTTAATTAAAAAATAGGAAAATTGATTCAAATAATTTTATTTGGAGCCTTGAGGGGCTGGGGGGGGGGTGCAGAGGGGCTAGCCCCCTGTCGAAAAGTAGTTATAAAAAACGCTGCAATTACAGGATTTGAAGTAAAAAACTGCATTTTTTAATTGTTGAAGTATTGGCTCTGTGCTCAATAGTATACCAAATTCTTATCAATGGCTTGCAGGTTCATGTTTAAAAAAAGTTTTCAACCAGTTTATAATTAACGACATAATTAAATTAATTAAACATGTGCGCAAAATGGTAAAATTTTGTTCGTTCTTCTAGTGTTTTTTTCATGTATTTCTTAGTGTTTTTTAGTGGCTCAGTCAAATTCACTATGTATATAAAGTTCCCATACAGCAGTTTTTTTTGTAATTCATCCACTCTTCACATTTGTCTATATAGTCCATTAATCGTAGGTCTGTGCAGTATTAGGTAGTAAATAGTTCCTGGCAGTACCTGACTATATTTCGTCTGTTCATAATCCATAATAGTCTTTCTGATCGAAGTCCCTCTGTCCTTGTTTGCCAGTAAGGGGCTTATCCCTGTTTTCCTCTTTTAGTCTGCAAAAGTCCTAATAGTCCGATATAATCCTTATTATATTTCTTGTCATTCTTCTTAGGTTGTTAGGTTTTGTGTAAAAATAAGTATTTATATTAAAGAACCACCAATGGATAATTGAATTATGTAAAACGGAAACAGTTACATTATAGAATAGTATTAATTTAAGTAGGATAAATCATTCGGAAGGAGAACTGATCTCCTGAAGGAGGACAGATTATACAGAAGTAGGAAAGATTATGCTTAAGGAGGACGGATTATGCTGAAGTAGGACGGATTATACTGAAGTATGACAGATTATACTGGAGTAGGACGGATTTTACTGAAGTAGGACGGATTATGCTGGAGTAGGACGGATTATACTAAAGGAGGACGGATTATGCTGAAGTAGGACGGATTATACTGAAGTAGGACGGATTATACTGAAGTAGGAAAGATTATACTGGAGTAGGACGGATTATACTGAAGGGGGACGGATTATACTGAAGGGGGACGGATTATGCTGGAGTAGGACGGATTATACTGAAGTAGGACGGATTATACTGAAGTAGGACGGATTATGCTGAAGGAGGAAGATTATACTGAAGGAGGACTGATTATACTGAAGTAAGACGGATTATAATGAACGAGGACGGATTATACTGAAGTAGGACGGATTATAATAAAGGAAGACGGATTATACTGAAGTAGGACGGATTTTAATAAAGGAAGACGGATTATACTGAAGTAGGATGGATTATGCTGAAGTACGACTGATTATACTGAAGTAGGACGGATTATACTGAAGTAGGACGGATTATACTGAAGTAGGATGTATTATATTGAAGAAAGACGGATTATAATGAAATAAGACGGATTATACTGAAGTAAGACGGATTATACTGAAGTAGGACGGATTATACCAAAGGTATATTTGAAAAGGGCGTATTTGAAGAGGAGGATGAAATGGGAAAGAGAATTGTATGATAAGGAGAAAAGAAAGAGAATGGTTCATGACACAGAAATGATTCTTAAATGGATTGAACGAATTAAACACAACATTTTAATCACAGAAACTGTCTTCAGAGGAAAAATTGAATTGTCAACATAAACTTGGCTTTATTAAAGGATTTAGCGTGCTGTAATTCGTTCTCTTGCCTTTAGCTGTACAAACATTATAATTATACAAACAAGGATTCCTGTTATACCATATTACTCTTTTTTAGTATTTATTTGAGAATATATATAAAAACTGTTTGCAACCTGATTCTAATTGAAAAAAAGTATTTTAAAAATGGAAAAGTGAAATACTTTATTTGTACTCACACTAATATATCATGCAGTCAGTTTTTTAGTTTCACGGAGACAGGATTAGTATTAACAATTTCTGTTTAGTTTCATGTTTCAATATTTACAACATATAAGGATATAGTCCATATACAACCTCAACTCTCGACAATACTTATTTATGTATACTAAATACTCATTGCTCAACGTACATCATATACAGGGTGTCCCAGGAAACATGACAGTTGGTGAATAGTTTAAAATGTCTTCTTCCATAATTTGTTGATACTAAAGAGACTAATAACATTTATTATATGACAGTTATATTATAGTAAAATTTATTTCACAGTAAAATATATATGAGTTAAACATTTTTTTAAAGAAATAAACTGCAAAAAGTCTTTAATATCTAATACAGTATGTTAAAGAAGACATTCAAAACTATTCACCAACTGTCATGTTTCGTGGGACACGCTGTATATACTCATAGCTCATACTGGATAATACAGTTACTCAAATCTTATTCATAACTATCAATACTAATAAATATCTACACTCCACACGAATATATAATATATTTACATCCATACTTTCAACCATATATAATATATTTACATCCATACTTTCAACCATATATAACATATTTACATCCATACTTTCAACCATATATAATATATTTACATCCATACTTTCAACCATATATAATATATATACATCCATACTTTCAACCATATATAACATATTTACATCCTTACTTTCAACCATATATAATATATATTCATCCATACTTTCAACCATATATAATATATTTACATCCATACTTTCAACCATATATAATATATTTACATCCATACTTTCAACCATATATAATAGCATATTTACTTTCATTCTTTTCTCATGTACATTTAACCATATCCATTAAGCCTCATCCTACTTAATTAAACTCATCCGTACTTTACCATACTCAGTAATCATCCAAACTAATCTATTTTATCTATGCTCATCCATGCGTATTTTATGTCATCTTTTTAAGTTTATTTTATGATGTTACAGGGCAAATAGTGTTACCAGTAACTTTTAAATAATTTATCTATTAAGGTCTGTTTTCACTGCACAATTACCGTGGCTAATGTTCATTAGACTATATAAAATCATATCTTGGGTCTAACAGTCTTATTCCTATTCCAGAGTTTTCTGGTTCTCACTGTATGCTTTGTATCTGTCATTGAGATTTTCATAGCGATAAATATTCTAACCAATTTCTCCAATTATCCAGTTGTTATCAATACAGTGCATTCGTCCTCAATCCTCAAACACCACACATTCATATTCATAGAACTCAGTTCATCACTACACCCGGAGTAATTGTTTTCACGGGGTTGGATTCTAGTTCTGCTGTAAAACTCCCAGTTGACCTGAGTAATCGTAATAAAAAAGAGTACTCCCATTGCAAGATTACTCCCAGTACACGAGTACTCCTAGTAAAAGAGTACTCCTAGTAAAAGAGTACTCCTAATAAAAGAGTACTCCCTAATAAAGAGTACTATACTAATAAAAGAGCACTCCTAATAAAAGAGTACTTCTAGAACAAGAGTACGCCCTGTACAAGAGTTCTCACAGTACAAGAGTACTCCCAGACTCTGAGTTCAAGAGCACTCCCAGTATAAGAGTACTCCCAGTACATTAGTACTCATGCACAGTAAATGAGTACTCCCAGTAAAAGAGTACTCCCTGTAAATGAGTACTCCCAGTATAAGTAAAAATGTTCTTTAAAAGTCCCATGAGCCATAAACATTGCAATTGTGTAGTGCACACAGACCCATGTCAATTAATGGGTTGATTGTCGAGATACTAGTAAAACTTTTTCCTTCACAACGACATCCCATACAAAAAAAATTGTCAAAATATCGTTGTCATCTTGCACAGTTTCACTGTTCATAATGAAAATTTTAAACTGTTGTTGTTATTTTTTAAAAAAATTCATTATTTTATTTTAAAAAACATTTGAAAATGTTTACTGAATTTTATGTTTTAATCCTAGTTCTCTAAATATATTTCAATAAGAAATTTAAAGCTAATGAAGTTTTAATGACATTTTGAACCTTTTACATTCCTTGGTCGCTTAAAAAAATGTCTGCCCTAGTTTCCTACTGACTCCCAATGTCTCAAACTAATAATCTATTTCAGGATTAAAAATGATTAAACTGTAAAATATCGGAGAAGGTTCAAGAATGGGAGATTGGGTCGAGATATTTGAGAGAAGGGAAGAATGAGGAGTGAGGACTTAGTCCTGAAGTATGTCCTACTCTGCACTTCATGGGGCACAAAGTAAGAATATTTTTTATTGATTTGATACACACAATATACCCATATATCAAATGTTGGAAAATTATGGATATTTATTGAAACTATGTTTTCTAGGCGGAAACTATGTTTTCAAGGCGGAAACTATGTTTTCTAGGCGGAAAGTTGGAAATTCTTTAATTTAAAGGGGACAAAAAAGAAGGGGGTGTCCTACAGTTTCTCCCCCCCCCTTCTCAAGTTTCCCCGTGCAGTACACACCATTTTCTAAATTTATTCCTTTGACAGGTGTTTTTGCATATGGCATATTGTATACATATACATATGTACGAATATCCCTACATTGTTTACTCTGGCTTTCTATTTGTTTTTCTATTTATTTTATTTTTTATCAAAACTTCCTCATTTCCGATTCTTCATATACAATACATTAAAGAAAACATAAACTGGGGGGGGGGATTTTTTATCGACAAGCATCTTTTTTTAATAAACTATTTTCAAGTTCTAAACTCAGCGTCTTCTTCTCTCCCAAATGTATCATTTAGGTTATAGTGTACAGCGTGATAATGTACGCTAATCCTTTACTAATTGTATAGGCCAAGAACTATACCGAGAGCGTACTGCATATTTGATTATTATAAGGAGATTCTGCCTAAACTATAGTATATCAATATTAGTAAACAGTTGTAAGTGTACAGCACAGCTAACTGAGCACACAGGTAGAGAACTATCATCCCACCTGGCTACAATGTACTGGTATACAATGTACTGGTATACCGGCTTCAACGTAGCATAAAAAACACAAAACTGTCAAATTTCCCAGATCCGGGCTGAAAACCCTAAATGCAGGACAAATTAAAGCCCCGTCTTGGAATCCCTAAAACTAATGATTTGAATTGAATTGATGAAAATTTCACGTTTTAACATGCTTGTCATTAGAAAAAGAATTCATATAGCAAATGCCATTTACAAGCTGTCATGAGGTTGAATTGAAACTATTGTGTGATGATATCACTAATCTGTATCTACTTAATCTTGAAATCCAGAGTGGCAAAGGAATTGAGTCTTAAATTTCTATCTCTATGTCTTTGCAACCTGATGGCGTAAAGCTTTGATTTCAAACTTAGATTATTCGTTCGTACAGAATTCACAGTTTGAAATATTTTAGGTTTACGACATTATGTTGCAAAGATTAAGGGATCAGCAAATCAGAGTTTGTGGCAAAGGGTCAATTCCTGTTTAATCCGTTATAAAAGCTGTTTCATATTTTCGCGATGTTTCTTTAACCATTAGACAAATTCAGAAGGAATAAGTCCAATCCATGTAAGTTCCGCCGTCTGGTGAAGTTGTATCTTGATAATCTAGTATCTTATCTTATCACAGTAAAACTTTGCACTTGATAAATATCTTTAATTACCTTCATGCTTAGGTTGGTTTCCCCGACAGATATGTCTAACCCTGACTGTTGGTATCCTGGCCGGGTTCTCCTTCTCCCTTCTCATCCTCAATGCCTCCAGCATCTCCAGGAGTGAGATGTTCCTTGGTCCTCCTCCAGCTAAATACTCTCAGGATATACACGATCACAAGGTATACATGGAGAACAATGGTATCAGTTCGTAAACTTAAATTATTTCCAGATATCACTTTGCGCCAATAGGTTTGATTAGATTATGTTGAGATAAAACCGGGGTTTCTGCTTCTCTGCTATCTCTGCAGTCAAATTGAACTAAAGTTAATTTCCCTTTAGGCCTGACCTAGATTCTTGAACCTGGTTAGGTTGCAGTGTTTTTTTTTAAGATCAGGACGAGAATTATTTATCTGTTTCTTATTCTTACTATTGCGCTTTCCTATATATTCTAGGTTCGTTTTGAAGAGTTTTAGATTTTCATTTTTGTCGGATATTTTTGTCCTGAATCAAGCCCTATCTTGATCCTAGTTCTAATGAGAGAGACTGAAGGATATTAAGTTAATTTCCAGGTGTATCAGTATAACAAGTGTTTAACACAAACTGTACTTTTTCTTGGAAAATACAACAAAACTAATTCTTCGATTCTTAAAATCAATTTTCAGGAGATACAGAGTTTACCTGAGTTAACTAAAGAAATCATTCTTCAATCACATTCCTCTGAAAAAGGTGACTAGAATTTTATATTTTCTTGACGGACATTTTTTATGATATTTCATATTGATCCTATCTTTGTTTTATTTTGAATGTTTTACATTTTGATTTTTGAGAATGGCGAACGAACAAAAGCTTTGCTCTGAGCTCTACTGAATGTGAAGTTTCCTTTTTTCATCCAAAGTTTTAAGAAACTAGTTACTCGCATCTAGCTCTAATTTTCTTTTCCCTATATCCCTGCAACCGTATGGTTTAACCCTTCGATATTTCAAACTTGTAACTTCGATCTATCATGTAACTCATAGTTTAGAATGTCAGAGGCCTTCGAAATCAGGTTGCAAAGATTTACAGATTGGAAAATTACAGTTTGTGGCGAGTTATCTGAGCTAGAAACTCATGTGTTTGATACCCTTATCCTTATTATTATTATTATTATTCTTGATATCCACTGTGGACACTTTATTTCTGCTTAATCCTCTCTTTTTGATATCCTTGATGAGAGTTCTCTCATTGATTGCGAGCAAAATATTCGGTTTCTGATTAACTGTTCGGTAGTTTTAGACACTTTACTGGACATCAAATAAAGATTAAATTAATCCGCAGATTAACAAAAAGAGGAGATCAAGCACTGATCTCGGTATCCACAAAACAAGAGTTTTCAGCTCAAGTCATCTTATCTTTTATTTCTAGATAATGAATCCCTGGCTGCAGATTTAACCCGAAGGGTTCGTGTTCTCTGCTGGGTTCTAACAGGACCTCAGAACCATGTCACAAGGAATATTTTTATTCAAACTAGATTTAATCAGAATTAGGCATCACGTATCACGTATGTATTAAACTCTAAATTTCTAATTTCTATTTATTATTTGCTTCATTTGCAAGCGGATGTCGTAGAGCTTTGATATTTCAAAATTTTATTTAACAGAATTCATATTTGAGTAAAAATAAAATGGTGAAGTTTTACAAAAACAGGTTTCAAAGATATAATGATAATAAAATTAGAGTTTCAAACGAATCGTCAGTTTCTTTAATTGTTTTATAAAAAGCAGAGTTTTTAAAAGTTGCATTTGTCACAGTTATAGGTTCTACAATTTTAATGGTATTTTGCCAAAAAAAAATTACAATTGGCGACCAAAATTTTCATAATATTGATTTTTCTGAATTAAACTAGAGAATAATAAAAACTGATTGGTTAGAGCTAAGCATGTTAAAGCAACCTGGGGAAGACGATGCAACAAACTTATATTTATGAGTTCTCAAGCAGGTAAATAATCTACTGATTTTGGGTCACATGAATAACGTGTAAGGGACCTTTAAAGCATTAAAAGATGCTGCAATAGCTAATAAATAACAGTCTTCAAAATATTTAGAAATAAGGAAATTTTACAATGATATCTAATAATAATAATAATATTGTTGAATATTATAGATAGTTCTCTGCCTGCCATAGCTCTCAAGGTTCAGGAGGGGAGGGATAGTCTTTGGGCAAAAACAAAACAGGCATTCAAGTAAGTAATTAAATATTTTGTCGTAAATCCTTCTATTTGATTGACTATTTGATTAACTAGGTATATCTATGATTAAATATTTGATTATCTAGGTATATCTATGATTGACTATTTGATTATCTAGGTTTATCTATGATTGAATATTTGATTATCTAGGTATATCTATGATTAAATATTTGATTATCTAGGTATATCTATGGTTCAATATTTGATTATCAAGGTATATCTATGATTGAATATTTGATTATCTAGGTATATCTATGATTGCATATTTGATTAACTAGGTTTATCTATGATTGAATATTTGATTATCTAAAAATATCTCTGATTGAATATTTGATTATCTAAAAATATCTCTGATTAAGTATTTGATTATCTAGGTATATCTATGGTTGAATATTTGATTAACTAGGTTTATCTATTTTATCTATGATTGAATATTTGATTATCTAGGTATATCTATGGTAGAATATTTGATTATCTAGGTATATCTATGATTAAATATTTGATTATCTAGGTATATCTATGGTTGAATATTTGATTATCTAGGTATATCTATGGTTGAATATTTGATTATCTAGGTATATCTATGATCACCATCTGAACGAGGCGGACTGGTTTCTCAAGGCCGACGATGATACCTACGTAGTAATGGAAAACCTGAGATTCATGCTCGAACCTTACAATTCTAGTCAACCCATGTACTTCGGTTGCAAGTTCAAACCGTACGTGAAGCAGGGTTATATGAGCGGTGGAGCGGGATACGTTCTCTCAAAGGAAGCGATTAAGCGGTTTGCAACAAGAGGTATAAAGTTTGATTAGTTTTTAACTTTGAACTTTGGTACTTTTTACATTTCCATGATTGCTTAATCTCTGTATCTAGGGTTGTCTGATGACTCTGGTGTGATCTGTAGAACGGACGGAGGAGGAGCTGAGGATGTAGAAATGGGGAAATGTATGGAGAATCTCGGAGTTCTTGCTGGAGACTCCAGGTAATGTCTAGACTTTGAACCTCAGAGTTATAGCCTTAGACTCCAGGGACTCCATGTTATACCAAACCTTTAAACCTATGAGATCTCTCCGGAGACTACAGGTTATACCAAATCTTTAAACCTCGGAGATTTTACCGGAGACTCCAGGGACTCCAGGTTATACCAAACCTTTAAACCTAGGAGATCTCTCCGGAGACTACAGGTTATACCAAATCTTTGAACCTCGGACATTTTACCGGAGACTCCATGTTATACCAAACCTTTGAACCTCGGAGATTTTATCGGAGACTCCAGGGATTCCAGGTTATACCAAACCTTTTTAAACCTCGGAGATCTCACCGGAGACTCCATGTTATACCAAATCTTTGAACCTCGGACATTTTACCGGAGACTCCAGGGACTCCATGTTATACCAAATCTTTAAACCTCGGAAATTTTACCGGAGACTCCAGGTTATACCAAACCTTTTTAAACCTCGGAGATCTCACCGGAGACTCCATGTTATACCAAATCTTTGAACCTCGGACATTTTACCGTAGACTACAGGTTATACCAAACCTTTGAACCTCGGAGATTTTACCGGAGACTCCAGGGACTCCAGGTTATACCAAACCTTTAAACCTAGGAGATCTCTCCGGAGACTACAGGTTATACCAAATCTTTAAACCTCGGACATTTTACCGGAGACTCCAGGGACTACAGGTTATACCAAACCTTTGAACCTCAGGGATCTTACATGAGACTCCATGTTATATAAAATCTTTGAACCTCGGAGATTTTACCGAAGACTCCAGGTACTCCAGGTTATACCAAACCTTTGATCCTGGGAAATCTTTCCGGAGACTCCAGGAACTCCAGGTTATACCAAACCTTTGAACTTCGGAGACCTTACAGGAGACTCCAGGTTATATCAAATCTTCGAACTTTGGAGATTTTAACGGAGACTCCAGGGTCTCCAGGTTATACCAAACCTTTGAACTTCGGAGATCTTACAGGAGACTCCAGGTCATATCAAACCTTTGAACTTCGGAGATTTTACCGAAGACTCCAGGTTATATCAAATCTTCGAACTTTGGAGATTTTAACGGAGACTCCAGGGTCTCCAGGTTATACTAAATCTCTGAACCTCGGAGATCCCACCAGAGACTTCTCCTCTGAATCTTCGAGTTTTTGCCGATTTTATCATATTAGCGTAAATGGTCTGGTTTCCATGTTATTAGCAATGTGGTATCAATAAACTTGTTATTTAGGGATTCCTTGGGCCGCGGACGATTCTTTCCGTTTGTCCCGGAGCACCATCTCATTCCTGGACATATGCCCGATGATTTTTGGTACAAGAAGTATATTTACTACCCTGTAGCAGAAGGTATGGGGTGCTGTAGTGATAGTGCTGTTTCCTTCCATTATGTGTCTGCGAACCAGATGTATGTTATGGAATACCTCCTTTACCATCTTAGACCGTATGGCATTGATAGGAAAATAGGTAAGTGTACAGTGTAGACATGCAAACAAATTTACATTTGTTCCGAATAATTTCTTTTTTGATTTATCTCAAACTTTACAGAAAATGCGTCTTTGCCACAATTATGATTTTCTAATCCCTATATCTTTTCAACCCAATGTCGTAGACCATTCTATTTATAACTATTTTGGATCAAATAAACAAAATTTGAAATGTCAAAGGTTTACACCATCATGTTGCAAACATAAAAGGATTAAAAATTTGAGCCTATAATCAGTTCTTCTCTTTCTGATTTCATCTCTCATGACTACGTAATGTTTAAAAAATCTTCCATTTTCTGTTTACCGTTAAGCAAAATTTATAATTGTGAATCCGGAAGAAATTTCTTAACAAAAAAAAATGCGGGAAAAATGTCAAACCCTAACACGCATTTAATTGATTTTTGTATTTCAGAAAGAATAGAAACCCCAGTGAATGCTCCTCCAAACAAGTCAAAATCTTAGCCCGGCAAATTCTTCAGTTGAAAGGTTCTTACTGTCAGATAAACATTAAAGTTTTACAAACTTAAAAAATGTTAATTCTAAAACGAAATTTTATCCAGAGGCAAAAACGAACCAACCTTATATGGTCTCTTTTTTAAGTCGATCAAAAAACAAAAAAAATGGCTTTAAGTTCAATCTTGATCGTGTTTTTTTTTATTTTAATCTGAAAATGTTGGTTCATGTCAACCTTAAAGCAGTACAGTACAGTACAGTTCTCACAATGAAATGTACTTTGCGTACATAACCCAACAGTACAGTACACCAACTAGATGAAAGACGACATGTCCTGCAAGATCTAAATATTGATTAAATAATCATAACTCATGAACGGATTATTTTAAACAAACCATTTTTATAAACGCACACATTCCTATCTTGCCTCAAATAGATGTTAATAATAATAAATACTAAAACATAAACTTAAATACTCTAAATGTTATTTCATATGGTTAATTAGACATTAAACAAATTTCACATTTTATATCTTTATCGCCATGATTAAAATTTAAGATTTATTTTTACCATTTTACCATATTTATGGTCATTTATCTATTACTCTAGTCTTTATAATTCGACATGTTATAAAATTATGTTTTTATTTTTTGTTACGTTTCTTTCAAAAGGCCTAAGCTAGGGTGTAACTTTTACTTTTAAATTTGATTTATTTGTTTATTTTCATTCTATAAAAAAATATTATTATCAACATTAAAAATATATACCCTATTATGTACTATATGGTTTGTAAAGATGTTTTTTTTTATGGCCTTATGTCGAGCATAGGGGGTTTCTGAATAAGTGAAAAAAGAATTAAAATTATTAAAAAAGCTATTTTAATTAAGATGAAAATATTTATTCTCCTATGCTCATAAAATCTACCCGTTTATACCCCCCCCCCCCCGATTTACCACAAAAAAGTAGGAAATATTGGATAAAGGCTTTGTTATTAAAATCCTACTATCCTTTTAAGAAACCGTTTGCTAATCCCGTCAATTCAGACAGGAGTGGAACTCGTATCCTGAACTGCGTAGTGCGTAGAGTATCCATCCACTTTTTATTCTCATTCCATATTCTTCCTTCCCCCTTTTAATTTTCTAGAATTTTTGGAAAATTTTAAGGGTGATTTTAAAACTCTTCATACATGTATTAGTACCCTTAAAACATATCTCTGTTATTGTTCCTTTATGTTTTAATATTATTTATATGCTTCCAACATATACAAGTGTATACATGTAATTATGTACAGTTACACTTGTATAAAAACATTCCTGATCTCAATAAAAACTAAAATCTTATTTTTTATTTTTTTATTTTTAGTTGAAACGGCATTAATTAGTTGTTATTCATGATATATATAAAATATATCTTGTTGAAGGGACTTAAGTCTAATTTCAAGAAAACTTCAATGCAAAGATGGCAATGATCGATTCACAACGATACCCTTAAAAAAATTGTCTGATCGACATGTATGAATCAGATATCAATCTTCACAATTTTGAGAATTTGATATAAATTTTTATAATTTTGAAACCTTGTTATTTTAGATTGTGGTTTCTCTACAAAAGGGACTTGTACATTTCTAGGATGGGAATTATCTAAATGTATCACTTGTAACCCTGGAAAACTTACAATATATTTCACATTATTGACCAGATAAAGGTTTCAATCTGGAGATTCCATCTTTGCCTAGAGGGTCACTTGAAATTACGCTTACAGTCTCTTTAGGAAAGCAATTTCTTCATTCTGCTAAAAGATCTGCTAACAGGGTATCTCTAAAAAGATCTGCTAACAGGATATCTCTAAAAAGATCTGCTAACAGGATTATCTCTTAAAAGATCTGCTAAGAAGATCTTAAAAGATCTGCTAACAGGTTATCTCTAAAAAGATCTGCTAACAGGTTATCTCTAAAAAGATCTGCTAACAGGATATCTCTAAAAAGATCTGCTAACGCGGTATCTAAAAAGATCTGCTAACAGGGTAACTCTAAAAAGATCTACTAACGGGGTATCTCTAAAAAGATCTGCTAACAGGTTATCTCTAAAAAGATCTGCTAACAGGGTATCTCTAAAAAGATCTGCTAACAGATTATCTCTTAAAAGATCTGCTAAGAAGATCTTAAAAGATCTGCTAACAGGTTATCTCTAAAAAGATCTGCTAACAGATTATCTCTAAAAAGATCTGCTGAGAAGATCTAAAAATATCTGCTAACAGGTTATCTCTAAAAACATCTGCTAACAGGTTATCTCTAAAAAGATCTGATAACAGGGTATCTCTAAAAAGATCTGATAACAGGGTATCTCTAAAAAGATCTGCTAACAGGGTATCTCTAAAAAGATCTGCAAATATGGTATCTCTAAAAAATCAGCTAACATGGTATCTCTAAAAAGATCTGCTAACAGCATATCTCTAAAAAAAATCTGATAACAGCATATCTCTAAAAAGATCTGCTAACAGGGTATCTCTAAAAAGATCTGCTAACAGGTTATCTCTAAAAAGATCTGATAACAGGGTATCTCTAAAAAGATCTGATAACAGGGTATCTAAAAAGATCTGCTAACAGGTTATCTCTAAAAATATCTGATAACAAGGTATCTCTAAAAAGATCTGATAACAGGGTATCTCTAAAAAGATCTGCTAACAGGGTATCTCTAAAAAGATCTGATAACAGCATATCTCTAAAAAGATCTGCTAACAGGGTATCTCTAAAAAGATCTGCAAATATGGTATCTCTAAAAAATCAGCTAACATGGTATCTCTAAAAAGATCTGCTAACAGCATATCTCTAAAAAAAATCTGCTAATAGCATATCTCTAAAAAGATCTGCTAAAAAGAAACAGAGTAGTTCATAACAGAGTAAATTTTATATACGGTTTAAGAAAGGGAAAATATTTGCTGCATGAAGAGGCGAATACAGGATTAGAGGATATTACCCCCCTCCCCCCCCCAGGGCGGTTTCAGGATTTTAAAAAAGGGGGGGTTAAAAAATCTTTATCCCCTGTTATCTTATAAAAAAAATGTTGCTAAAAAGTTCAATATTTACCCAACTAAAATTACAGTTTCTTCTTCTTAAATCATGTTTAATTTATCTTGTAGAAGACATCAGTAAGAATTTTTCATGTTTATTTTTATAGTTAAAAATAAAAGTTTACCATAAGAAGGCTGAAAGTAAAAAAAGAACCTTTTGTTTAAATTAGAAAAAAATTTTAAAATTATTCCAGTACAGTGACAAATAAAGCGATAAATAAAGCAAATCTATCTAATAAGAAAAATAACAATAAATACAAGATTTGATAACACTTCAGTTCATATTTTAAATCATTGCTCAAAGTTACCCCCATTCCATGCCATGCGAATAATTGACGCTATTTAATATGACTTTTCTCCTGTGCAGTAAAATTTCTTTTCTTCATGTAAAACTGTGGAGACAGGATGACTTAGACCTTCCAGCTCTAGTGTATTTCAAGTAACCAGAGCTGGGAACTTTAGAATAGTGGATATCAAGATTAATGCTTAATCCTCTCTTTTTGCGAATCTCGAGGCTAAAATAATCTCGAGATTATGTTAGTCTCGAGATTAAATATTTAGATCAACAAATTTGATCCTAGTAACGCCATGGAAGGGCATTCATTTAATGTCTCATCCATTTATTTAGTTTAAAAAAAATATCAAACATATTATTTCATATTTTTCTTCACCGATTAATTTACAAAATGGCCGACAAAAATTCGTTATTTGTTAGCAATTGCGGAGGTCTCTCATTGCCGAGGCTTTGGTCAATACAATTTACGAACTATATTCCTTCACTCTCATTGGAGAAAACAATGTACGGATATCCAAAGAGAGAGAAAAAAGAGTGGATTAAGGACTAAAATTAAAAGTCTCCACGGTGGATATTCGGATTAAGTAGTTGGGATTAAAGGTTATCCATTCTAAAGTTCCCAGCTCAGTACGAATATTTTCGAAATTTTTTATAGCTGAAGCAACAGTCCTTCAGTGTTACGCCAAACAGAAGCATTATCGGACGACAAAAATTTTCGGACAACCCCTCACAAAGTTAAAAACTATACTGGAGCACATTTTTCAGTCTTTTTTAAGCATTGGAAGGGTTTAAAAATCCTAATACCTGTTTTCTAGATTATCTGGTATTATTTGTATAAAAATTGAAAACAAAGATTTGCTAAAAAATAACTTCTAACCATACCATAGTGAAAAGGTAATTTTTACAATTAACAAATTTTATAACTTGGAAATTCTCAAATTAGGAAACTATTTCTTGTGAACAATATTTTATTGATATTTTGTACAATTGTTTATTATATATTTTATATTCTGTAGAATATTGACAAGGGAGAAATATTTTACATTCTGCGAGAATAAAGATGTTGCATGTATAATAAATGAACTTATTTAAAACAAATATTTGATTTGACCAAAGTTTTGACTTAATAAGGCGATATAAATGGTGTCTGATGATCTGTAATTGTAGATTTAAAAGTTGATAAAAGTTAGGTTTTACACAACATTACAGTAATTGTTGATGTTATTTAATGTTACCCAGCTTATTCAGAGAGTTACAATTCGATTCACAACAATCACTTTTAAACCTTAATCTGAACACAGGTAACAAAGATATCGTCAGTTTTTTCATCTTGAAATACATAAATTATGTCGACCTTCTTTCTTGTCATTAGTGTATAAATCACGATGGAACATTATCACTTTTCAACAAGAACAACAATGATATCTCGCATCATGCTTGATCAGACAAAGGTTACTATTGTGAATCGAAATGGAATTAACGTTGACAGAACTTCGAACACCAAACCAAACCAGAACTAGGGCCTGGCACTGTTAAACAAACTACTTATGTACAATTGTATAATTGTACAGTAAACGCTGTACAGTACTACTCTGAGAGTACATCTGAAACGTGGGAGATATTCTTCAGATTACCAGGGGACAGGCTGCCTTGTACCAACCTTAGAGCATCCTGAAAACAAAGAAATTAATTACTAATCAATTAATCATTCACTGAGTAAAAATGAGTACCTGGAGAACAGTCGAGTTTACTGAGAGTTTATTGAACGAAGTTCCAACATCAGATATTCCAGATACTCTCCGGCTTCTGGAAGTAAAACAAATCTTAGAATTTTTTGCGTATTTTTGCAAGACATTCCTTTAGCAAGATTAATTTTTGACAGACTGACGGACACGACAACGACGATATCTTCCCTGTTGTTACTAAATAAGAGGCACAGTACAAAACAAATGGCGGTTTTTTTAATAAATACATTATGTACATAATATCGACCCAGTGATCAAGGGTACCACAAACCAATATCAAAGTAATAGAGTCCTCTTTAATCTTACATAACCATTAACCTGATGTTTGTTACCTTGGAGATGATCTCCCTGATAAACTATCCGTGGAGTTGGGACGGGACGGAGGACGGGAAGACGAGGATGAGGATGATGACAGATCTAGAGGAGCACTCTGAGTCAGGTTAAACATCCCGCTATCGTTGGGTTTGGACAGGATAGGAGATACACTCTTATGTCCGTGAATCCACTTCTCTACATTTGAAATTAAGTTGTAAGTATATTTTTAACTACGAAGATCATAATCAAGAGTTCCCGTAAAATGTATACCTGTTAATGACGGATAAAGTTGCTGCTCCCAGAAATTCTGAATATATTCTGTTTGATAAACTGGCGTAGGTTGAACCGGGTACTTTTGCGGATAATTAAACTCGGAATTAGAGTAACTGTTCAATTCCTGGTAGGATGCATTCTCCGGAGAAAACGATCCAAATCTGTCCTGATGAACTGGTAAATGAGTTCTAAACCCCTCGTTTGATTGACTCATCATGGACGGAGTAGGATGGTAGAAAGGATGACAGTGATCAACATACTGTTGAGAAATAGTATACGATCTAAACCCACGATCCTGCTCTTCACAAGATGAATATGTTCCGAATCCTTGTTGTAGAGGATAGTTTTCGTACATTTTCTCATTTCCGGTCTGTTCCAGTGTACTGTAAGAGATCCAGGATTCATCCGGTTTCTCCTCCTTTATGCAAGGTTCCATTTTAACCAGAGAAAACGCGTCCTCATTCTTCTTACTTGACTTGGTTCGGGGTGATTTCTCAACTTTCTTCTGTTTGTCTCCGATCCTGATCATCTTGAGATTAATCCCAACCATCAGGGAGGATTTTAGTCTACAGTACTGGCACCAACCTCTACAAATAAATGCGGATTGTGAAGTCTCAAAAAAAACATGTAAAGAAAAATTTTTTTTTTCTTGCATTAAAAACATAAAAATCCATTTTAATTCAGTACGAAACCAATATTTAATGGGGCTCCTTGTAGAAACCAATATTTAATGGGGCTCCTTGTAGAAACCAATAAACAAGTTTGCGAAGACGACATTCAGATTTTAGTTTACCTGAGCCTAGGTGGGCAGCCTAGTGTACAAATCTTGTAAACAAACTTATCATGAAAGGTTCGTTTTAGAAACTGTTTATCCGCTTCACAGGTGTAGATTCCGTAGTGTAAACCTAAGGAAATAACAGGTTTATTCGAGGAAACAAGTTTAGAGGATTTATATAATTTGAAAATACATTGGAACGAAACGGAAGATTTTTTTGGAAAGCGGAAAGAACTTTTTCCATGCTCCAGATATGATTTATCAAATTTTAGATAAATAAAAGATAATTGTGAACACAAGTATTGATAAACTTGTTAAATACGACATGCATTTAACTCTGAAGAAAAGAAAGGACTTATTCCATGATTTATCAAATTTAAAATAAAAGTTATTGGAAACATAAATATTTATCAACTTGTTGAATACTTCATTTTACTCTGAGAAAACTGGTTCACGTCAAACTAAAGAAATCTTATATGTTTTCGATCAAAAGAGCTATTAGGTAAAACAAAAATGTTTTGAATTTATAATATGTAACCGGATAAATTGGCTTTTCTCTTACTTCAAATTAAAGACCAAGGTGTTACGACAAATCAAAGCAACTTCAAAGTCAACCCAGTTTTGAAAATTGGTGCATATTTTCATAGCTGGCAATAGATCTCTGTGGATTCTAGAATGGCTCTAGTCTTAAAAAACTTTGTATTGAAAGAGACTGTTAACCTTTAGAAGACAGTATATACCTGTATTTGGACGAAGCTGGCAGATTCTACACTCAGGATTAGATACTTTCTCCTGCCTCACAGGTTTCAAATATGCTTCTCTCCAGTCTTGAAACAGCTCAGGATAAGTCCTCTCAACATTTATCCCAGTTTTCAATTAAAAAGGTTTTTTTTAAAGTTTCAGCTAAAAAGAAGTAAAAAAGATATTGCCCCCCCAAACCCCCCTCTCCTCCTCAAAATTCTATGGGAGGGGACGAATCTATTCAATATGTAAAATTCATCATGAAACAATATATTTTAACATGTTTTAGGGCTTTTCAGGTTCAAAAGGTAAATCAAATTTCGGGGGAAAGGGGGGGGGCGTATTTCTCCCTCTCTCTCTAGGGTGGGCAATTCCTAGGGGGCAAAAACGTCATGTGTGTGTGTCTGTACCAAAAGAGTGTGTGTTAGTTTAAAGTACCAAAGGTGTGTACTGTAGGTATATAGAGTACATACGAATCTCGGTATTTGTACAGTCTAGGAGAGTACATTTGTTTATTGTTAATTGTTTACTTAGAAATAAGTTTAATATACATTAATATAGTATATTATTTATATATTTAAGTCAACACTATAAGCCAAATTTTCACGCAAAGAATATAACTTGATTGAAGTTTACAACAAATATAGTCGTTATTCAAGTTTAATTATAATTGACAACATTGTTCTGCAATTTGCTTGACTGTAGTCATGTTGTGTTTCTGTACCAAAAGAGTGTGTGTTAGTTTAAAGTACTGGTCTGCAAAGCAGTGCGACTGGCTTTCTCATGCCAGACCAGCGCCATTTCCTTTCCTTTATTCCTATTTCTTGGCAATTCCTCCTTGCCCCTAAAAACCAAACACATGTTTATAAAATGCTTAAAAAAGTTTTTAAAAATATTTGTAGGGAAATGTTTCCTGGAGCCAATTTTCAGCATCTGTACCCATTTCTTCCCATGCAATCAACCTGGAGCAAAATATTTTTTTTCCAGTTTTAAGAATTTAAGTTATAATCGTAGGTTATTCAATAAGTCACACACATTTAACACTAGAATTTGACACAGAAAGTTTGTAATTAATAAGCCAGATTCATTCATTCAATGCCGGAATTTTGCCAAAATGTGACACGAAAGCTGTTTTGAAGGTAGTAATATGTACTAATCATGAAAATGATTTTATAATAGGAGCAAACCTAAGATTCTCAGGCTCCTGTGGGATATAATCGTTTTCAGATTGGTTGCGTATTTGCTGAATATGATCTGTTTAATACTACAACTTTTATACAAAATTGTATTCACATGAATTTTTGTATAATTTTGACACAGTTTTATTTCTCAATACAGGAACATCAGATAGATGTCTGATATCGTTCAACGCCTGAGATTCTCAGGTTTCATCCTATACCCCCTTTCATTTTTCCTTTACAGTCCCTTTCAGACGATTTTTGCTAAACCTATCCTTAAACAATTTGTCTGAGAACATGCATAATGCACATCTTTGGATTATTCTAGAGGGGGGGAAGGGGCACGGAATGACTGTCCCAGGCTATGCTTAGGGTTAAACTACGGCTTTGATAAACCAAAATGTAGAAAAAACCTTATGTTTGACATTTTGTAAAGAAATTATCAATCAGACCTGCAGTTTATCTGATTTCAGTGCTCACTCTTTCAATATAATTCTCAAACTAACGTTAAAGTTAATGTTTATTGGTATGCTGTACTTATGGGACAAGCGTACACTGTACAATATCCTATCCATGGAGATGTGAATATATAGAGGAGGCAACAGCATAATATAACATATCAGGGTCCTACCTACAGCCAGGACGTTTACAAGAAATATTATTTCAGATCTCTCTCTTTAGTTCAAGGCAGAACTCTGTATGCAAGTTTTTTTCCTGTATTATTATTTTGTCAAATCTAACACTAGTGCTATTGTCTGTGTTAACTCTATGACATTAATATCTATGGTTTGACCGGAGATAATCCTGTCGACCCAAACAACCTGAACCAGTAATATACAGAACTGGTTTGGAGCAAGGAGTGATTTTTCTGAAGTATTAATATTATCATCATTATTTTTTTAACAAATTTATATTTGAGACTTTTTAGCTTGTAACATTTATAAAATTATAAACATCTTGTAACATTCTTTTCTGAATACAAAAGGAAAAGAATGATTTAACCAGTCTTAAACAACTGAATATTTAAATCTAAAAAAAATCATTATTTAGTTTTTATATGATTATTGATTATCATGAACGATTGATAAAGTGTTAATTTATACAATAGCTTGGAAACCCAGCTTTGCGGAAAATTTAATTTTCCAATAAAAGTCAATCAATTTCTAATCGAAATCTGAGGTCCAGGGGTTCATGAGCTACGATCGGACTCATCGCGCGGACATACATCCATGAACAACAAACAGACGGACAGACCAACAAAGATTACTTCTTTCTATATTCAGAGCGTCCCATATCATATTAGATTATCTCTAATCTTTAACACCTAAATACGAACATAATACTCGAAAAATCTAGCATTTTCTGCAAAAAATAAATTCTATTAGCCTTATTAAATTTTTCAAAATGATTCATTCTATTTTAAATTTTCTGATTTGTTCCCCAAATCGTAATTTTACCCATTGACGCGGTCTAATTTGATGTGGGACACCCTGTATATAGATGTCCAAAAAAAGACGACGTTATCCAATTTATTTTTTTTATTTTTGAGTCTTGATAGAAAACACATATAAAAGGGTGTAGCTCACTAAACATGACAACTGAGAGAGGACTGAAAAATATATCGTTGATAACAAAATTGTACTTATGTAAGGTAGTTGAACTGAGTATGCAGTATTGTGGACAAAATTTGAAGAATTTGTAGAAATCAGCGAATAAATTAATATAAAATAAGAAATTTAATATAATGATGAAAACGAAATAATTGATTCTTGCATTGATTTATTGACAAATTTCAAAGTTAGTAATTATACACGTGGAAAAGTTTTATATGTCTCAAATGAATCCTAAAAACAACACTGCATTCTCAGTTTAACTACTTTACATAGCCGGTCTGTCCCTTGTTTAGCACTTAGTCATTTTAGACTGCTATCTTTAGGTTGTCTAGTGAGACACACAAATATTCCTCTTTCCTTCCTGCATATTACGATTTTGTTTTCGTTTTATTATTTTGTATTTACAGAAATTATGAAAATACAAACATGATCTAGAACATTAAACACATTCATCATTTTTATTATGTTTAGGGACAATACAAACAGGCGGTTTTTTTATATATCAAACATAACACTTTTTTAGAATTTATACAATGAGAAGCAGAAAGCTATGCGATTTAGAAGACGACATTAATTCGATACTTATGGGTATAATTGATGTTAGAAAGCAAATAGTTTTACTAGAAACTTATTAAATCACTAGCTAAGTGAAATGAGCCTGTTTACACTGCACAATTGTTGTATTTCATGTTCACAGAACTATTTAAAGTCATATCTTTTGTCTAACAGTCGTCTTCTCATCCCAGAGTTTTCTGGTTCTCACTGTATGCTTTAAAAATTCTTTAGGTGCCAGGAAAGTTTTTTGTTTTACATTTTTCTATATTTAGAATGGAAAAGTAAAGCATCTCTGTTTATTTTAATGTTATATGCAATTTTAAAGCAAATAGTCATTAAAGAACATCTAACCAATTTTTGAAATAATACTAATTTTAACAATTTTGATAAATAAGGAGATTCGTTGCAAAGGGGGAAAGATTCTGTAAAAATAATCATATCGGATTTGAAATCGAGAAAAGATAAAACAAATGCTTAGATGAAAAACATATTCTGTATATGCCATAGATTCAACAAAATTATTAAGAGTAATCAGTAATCACACAGAATAAAACAAATAAATTATAGATACATACATTTGTTTAAAAATAAAAATTCCTCACTATAAATTAAATGTTCAATATTAGAGGGTGCCCCACGAAACATGACAGTTGATAGACGACGTGAAGGTCGTCTTTGATCTTTGAAATAGTTTGCGGCATTTAATCGTCCACACAAACTCTTAGATGTATGATTCTTGAATTAATAATCGCAAAATTCACCTAGTCCTGGCATTTACACAATGTGGTCTGTCTTTTATTGTGCTTTCAATTTTACCGTAAATTTTAAGAATTTCTTTCAGACTGACTATTTCTAAATAAAACCAAAATGATCTCAATCTCGACGAAATTCGCTTATCTTCGATAAGTTCAAAAGCACAAAAAAGACAGACCACATTTTGGAAGTGCCAGGTCAGGGGTATTTTGTGACGAGTGAATGCTGCAAATTGTTTCAAAGACGAACTTCAAGTCATCTTTTAACTCAGTTGAGTCTACTGCCATATTTCTTGAGACATCCTGTTATAGATAAAAGCATAAACATTTTTTGAATTTTTTTTAACTCGAACATTATTTTGGTTACAGTGCCGTACAAGACTGTATGTACTAAACACACTGTACAGTGTCCTCAAAGATGGTACGGTACAATTTCAAACCAACGTGTTAGAAACTCCAACTTTCTGTCACCAAAAACTGGTCTTCTAGGACGATGTCAGAGCAAACAGTAAAATTATAATGAAATGTTTTAATATTTCAGTTAATTTCAACATTTAGCCAAGCAGTAGATTTAAGTATATGTTTACAGAAATTAAATAGATAGGAAAAAAACATTTTGAAAATTCCGTAACAAACACAAAACATTCAAACTTTTTTTAAAACTGGATAGTTTTTATTAACATAATTGTACATTGTTAAAATAGATATTAAACATGAGATTATAGAGATAAAGTTTTAAACATTTCCCATGTACATTGAGGTCTTTTACAGATTATAAGACTCTTATACTTTTTTGATTAATTTATGGACTTCTATGAAAATATTTGAATATTTCTGCCATTTTCATTTTGTGGCAGTTACAAACCATGCAAAAACATTGGCGTTGGTCAAATTTTTTTTTTTTTACCGGTGTCAAGGTCAAGTCAGGTCAGGTTGGATCTTGGAAATCCGTGAACTCATTTATTTGCTATTCTCACAAGGAGCTTGAGGTAGATTTACCGGGTTTACCAGGTTTACCAGGTTTACCAAGTTTACCAGGTTTACTAGGTATACCAGGTTTACCAGGTTTAACAGGTTTTCCAGATTTTCCAGGTTTACCAGGTTTACCAGGTTTACCAGGCTTAACAGGCTTAACAGGTTTTCCAGATTTACCAGGTTTACCAGGTTTACCAGGTTTACCAGGTTTACTAGGTTTACCAGGTTTACCAGGTTTACCAGGTTTACCAGGCTTAACAGGCTTAACAGGCTTACCAGGTTTACCAGGTTTACCAGGTTTGGAAGAGGTATGTAAAGTAAATACTTGGAATAATTAAGAAGAAAAATCACCAGAAAATTCACCAGGACATTTCATTGAGAAAAATACAAAATAAAATTGAATTTTTAAATTTTTTTTTTTTTTTGGAATGCCAAGCAAATGGTAAAAAATTCTAAACCCGTAAAAAATTGCACATAATGTTGACCTTCTAGTTTTCAGTGTGTGAGTGGATTATAACACACTCACATTACTTTTCTTAATATTTAGAGATGGAAGGCGACATTTGTGGTTGGAGTTGAAATCTTGAACTCAGGAGCACCCACATTTTTCTACCTTCATACCTGGCAGGGTTCCCATCACAACATTATTTTCCTGAATAAGAATATTCATTATTATTATTATTATTATTATTATTATTATTTTTATGATTATTATTATTATTATTAATATCATTATTATCAAAAATACCTGATCTAGATAAAGCATAGAAATCTGCGACATTCTTCTGGCTGAACAGCAAGGTCCTGCTGCACTGTGAAGGTTCATCTGTAGAAGATGAGTGTGTGGAGACTCAGGAACCTCTCCTGCACATTCAACAAAAAGTTCATTAAACATTTTATTTTGACTAATCAGGAACAAGAAAAATATATTCTTAATGCAGGGAAATCTCAAGATATGAGCTCAACATTTTTTCAATTATTTTTGAACTGTTATAAAATTTGATATAAATGGTTATGGATTTGAACCAAAACTTGATAAGTAAGTATGTAAATATTGGAAAACAACAGAGATTAGATTCATATTCATCTAAAACCAAAAATTTTTAATATGGAAGTCTAAACCCATAGAGAATAGAATATATATTAGAGGGGAATTTACTAGAATAAAGTGTAAAACGGCCATTTTGTTGTACTGTTTCCATACTGCAGGTGTACTTCACATATTTATGCTATAAAACCTTTTGGGCCCTGGAATATCATTTTATAGAAAATCTAAAATTATTGTTAAAAGAAAACCAAATTATGAAATAGGCTGGTTTCATAATTGACCATTTCACATAGACTCTATGCTTTCCACTTTACAAACGATGATTTTCCGTTATAACTATAAATCAAATGATGTTTTTATTCACCTAATGCATTAAAAAGTTTATTTAACAGTTCAAAAAATTCGAAATTGAAATGAATAGTCTAGGGAACATACTGTATTAATGTACTCTACTGCATATAATTTGTGAACATTTACATGATTTGTACACTTTGAACT